TTTCTCCGTCTTTTGCAGGTACTGCGGTGTCAAGGATTCTCTGACTGTGTCTGATAAATCTAGGAAAGTTACTGTCTTGTTCAAAACAAACAAGAAGAATCTAATACAGGATTTTCCTGCTCTGTCAGAGCTTCAGGTAAAATTCAATATATTTCCAGTAACTGAGGAACATTGGAAGTCTTGCAATAAGCTTCATTTGCACATTTCCCAATTCCGCATAATGTCTTCTCTTTGTAATATCCTGTACAGTGCCAGACTCCCAAACAACAACTGTAGACCCTGAGCCAACTTCAGAATGCAGTATGTATTTACCCTTCCTCTTTTGCTCTGATAACGGAATATCCAGAGTTGAATAATAAAATGAAAACGTCCATGTAAAGACTTGGAAATCCATGGCTTCACGACCCACAGTATAACACACAAACGTCTTTCCCGTAGCTGGATGTGGACAAGTCAACCGTGCCAACCGCATTGTTGGTGGGGTAGAGACGGAGGTGAACGAATATCCCTGGATGGTTTCTCTTGTCGACGGCAGTGGATACTATCACTTCTGTGGCGGTTCTATCATCTCCAGCCAATGGGTCGTCACTGCAGCTCACTGTGCAGTAGGGTAAGTAGATCCTTATATAGTTAAAAAAAAGAAGAAAAAAAATCCTCTTATTGTCTCAAATGCACTTTTCTATTCCCTATTATTATTGCAGCATGACCACCTCAGATTATGTGCTGGTGGGAGACCACGACCTCTTCTCCTCAAACGAAGCCAATTCTCAGTGGATGGAGATTGCTGAAGTAAGTTTAATGTCCTCACTTTATCACTGAACCGTGTAAACAAGTGAAAAGTTTAGTGAATGTTTTCTGGCTCTACATTTACTAAGTGAAGTAAATACGTGTAATACGCATTCTTTCCAACAGATTGTGAATCATCCGTCCTATGATTCCAATACACTGGACAACGACATTGCCCTCATCAGACTCAAGACAGAGATCCAGTTCCCATCTGACAACAAAATCGCCCCTGTCTGCCTTCCAACTGCTGGTGAAATGTATGATAGTGTGGATGCCACAATCACAGGATGGGGAGCTCAACAGGAGGGTGGGTACTGGTATTCGTGATAAGCCTTTTAAAGATTTGTTTTTTATCGAGAATTATAACAAAAAACTTCCTACATTGACTCATACAATGCATTTAACAGGAGGATCCACATCGGGCACCTTGTTCGAAGTAACAGTGCCCACCATGACAAACACCGAATGCAATACCAAGTACGGAGGAAGCATCACTGACAACATGATCTGCGCAGGCATTCCTGAGGGAGGCAAGGACTCCTGCCAGGTATGTTCTTCATTCTTGCTTTTGAGGATACAATTTTAACTTGTCTTTTTTGATAGATGACATTCCTTTCGATATATTTCACACAGTATATGTGAATATTACAGGGAGACTCTGGTGGACCAATGGTGGTGGAAGAAAACGGCAAGTGGAAGCTGGTGGGAGTTGTGTCGTGGGGTTATGGCTGTGCTCGACCTGAAAGGCCCGGAGTCTACGCCAGAGTTACCCGTGAGTAATTTGTGGTTAGCCATTGAATCAGTTCCTGTAGTTAAAAAAACAAAAACTATCTACGATTTTACACAATGCGTCTCTTGGAAGATGAAATGTACCACTCACCTTTGGCCTGTAAGGGATATTTCAAATTTTTTTTTGTCTATGACTGATATCTTACAGTACCACCAATGTCGTTTCTCTTACGTTATGAGTGAAGCTGAAAGTCCATTATAATCAATAAAAAAAAGAAAAAATCTGGTGGGGATGTATAAGCAAAATGTTTTGGTGAAGATTGCAAATATTTTGATCAAGGAAACATGCCAACCTCAATGCCGCTCCAGTGTCCATGTATGACGGGCTCAGCTAAAATGGAACCACTGCGTTGAGGATTCTTTGATTATGTTTCGGGTTGCAGTTATAGACTGAATTTGCATGTTATATGCATTCTTTGTACTACAATGAGATAATGATGATTATTTTCCATCAGAATATTTGCAATGGATTTCTGACTCAACAACCGGAGTCTGTGTCGATGGGAACACACCTGCTCCTACAAATGCCCCGACGACTGCCCCTACTTCTGATCCTAATACTGATTGCCGTAAGTAAAGATAACAAAATCTGTAGTAATCTTCAAGGTACCATAATATTAAAAAGATCAAATAAAAACATTTACATAGTCTTCAGCATTGATAAACGAACAGAAAACCTGTTTGACAATAAGGAAGTTGATAGGTGGTGGACAGTGCTCCATTTTCAAGCTATCTTACCCTCTATGAACTGGTTTTGCGAGTTTTCTGTGATAAAGACAATTACTTTATTCCCACAGCTGGATGTGGACAAGTCAACCGTGCCAACCGCATTGTTGGTGGAGTAGAGACGGAGGTGAACGAATATCCCTGGATGGTTTCTCTTGTCGACGGCAGTGGATACTATCACTTCTGTGGCGGTTCTATCATCTCCAGCCAATGGGTCGTCACTGCAGCTCACTGTGCAGTAGGGTAAGTAGATCCTATTGAACTAAAAAAAGAAGAAAAAAAAAATCCTCTTATTGTCTCAAATGCACTTCTCTATTCCCTATTATTATTGCAGCATGACCACCTCGGATTATGTGCTGGTGGGAGACCACAACCTGTACTCCGGAAGCGAAGCCAATTCTCAGTGGATGCAGATTGCTGAAGTAAGTTTAATGTCCTCACTTCCTCATAGAATATTGGAAAAACTGAATCGATTTGTCATTATTTTTCTCGACCTATATTTTCACGATCAGACAACTAAACAATTGTAATCCTTTGCAACAGATTGTGAATCATCCGTCCTATGATTCCAATACACTGGACAACGACATTGCCCTCATCAGACTCAAGACAGAGATCCAGTTCCCATCTGACAACAAAATCGCCCCTGTCTGCCTTCCAACTGCTGGTGAAATGTATGATAGTGTGGATGCCACAATCACAGGATGGGGAGCTCAACAGGAGGGTGGGTACTGGTATTCGTGATAAGCCTTTTAAAGTTTTGTTTTTTTATAGAGAAATAACAAAAATCTAATTGACTCATACAATGCATTTAACAGGAGGATCCACATCGGGCACCTTGTTCGAGGTAACAGTGCCCACCATGACAAACACCGAATGCAATACCAAGTACGGAGGAAGCATCACTGACAACATGATCTGCGCAGGCATTCCTGAGGGAGGCAAGGACTCCTGCCAGGTATGTTCTTCATTCTTGCTTTTGAGGATACAATTTTAACTTGTCTTTTTTGATATATGACATTCCTTCGATATATTTCACACACATATATATGTGAATGTTACAGGGAGACTCGGTGGACCAATGGTGGTGGAAGAAAACGGCAAGTGGAAGCTGGGTGGAGTTTGTCGTGGGGTTATGGCTGTGCTCGACCTGAAAGGCCCGGAGTCTATGCCAGAGTTACACGTGGGTATATTATACTTTGCTACCGAATTAATTTCTGCAGTTCAGCAAATCTCAATATATATATATATACATATATATCCGAATGAGAAACACACCAGCTTTCCTAAAGGAAAAATGTACCAAGGTTTTGACTGTAAGAAACACTCGCATGTTGACTGTCTATGACCGACATTTTGCGATCCATAAATGTTTTTCTTAGGCCCTCTGGTACCACAGGAAGAAAGCAATCACAGTCAAAAAATTGTGCTCTTACTAGAAATATTTATATATTTTCTTAAATACATCAGAATGAAACTTTTTCATCAGAATATTTGCAATGGATTTCTGACACAACAACCGGAGTCTGTGTCGATGGGAGCGCACCTGCTCCGACAAATGCCCCCACGCCTGCCCCTACTTCTGATCCCAATTCTGACTGCCGTAAGTAAAAATGACAAAATCTGTATAATCTACAAAATACCATACTAAAAAGATCAAACAAAACATTTACATAGGCTTCGGCGTTGATGAGCTAACAGAAAACCTGTTACACAATAATGAAATGATGATGGATGGACAACCTATGAAGTATCCAGTACTCCATTCATTTTCAAGCTGTCTTACCTTCTATGAACTGTTTTTGCGAGTTTCTTCTTATTCCACAGCTGGATGTGGACAAGTCAACCGTGCCAACCGCATTGTTGGTGGAGTAGAGACGGAGGTGAACGAATATCCCTGGATGGTTTCTCTTGTCGACGGCAGTGGATACTATCACTTCTGTGGCGGTTCTATCATCTCCAGCCAATGGGTCGTCACTGCAGCTCACTGTGCAGTAGGGTAAGTAGATCCTATTGAACTAAAAAAAGAAGAAAAAAATCCTCTTATTGTCTCAAATCCACTTCTCTACTCCCTATTATTATTGCAGCATGACCACCTCGGATTATGTGCTGGTGGGAGACCACAACCTGTACTCCGGAAGCGAAGCCAATTCTCAGTGGATGCAGATTGCTGAAGTAAGTTTAATGTCCTCACTTCCTCATAGAACATTGGAAAAACTGAATCGATTTGTCATGATTTTCTAGTATTTTCAAAAACAAAACAATTGCAATACATATCCTTTCCAACAGATTAAGAATCATCCGTCCTATGATTCCAATACACTGGACAACGACATTGCCCTCATCAGACTCAAGACAGAGATCCAGTTCCCATCTGACAACAAAATCGCCCCTGTCTGCCTTCCAACTGCTGGTGAAATGTATGATAGTGTGGATGCCACAATCACAGGATGGGGAGCTCAACAGGAGGGTGGGTACTGGTATTCGTGATAAGCCTTTTAAAGTTTTGTTTTTTATCGTAGAATTATAACAAAAAACTTCCTACATTGACTCATACAATGCATTTAACAGGAGGATCCACATCGGGCACCTTGTTCGAAGTAACAGTGCCCACCATGACAAACACCGTATGCAATACCAAGTACGGAGGACGCATCACTGACAACATGATCTGCGCAGGCATTCCTGAGGGAGGCAAGGACTCCTGCCAGGTGTGTTCCTTCGTCATTCTTACCTTTAAATTTACAATTTCAACTTGTCTTTTTGGATACGTGGCATTCATTCCTGTATATTTCACCCAGTATATGTGAATGTTACAGGGAGACTCCGGTGGACCAATGGTGTGGAAAAACGGCAAGTGGAAGCTGGTGGGAGTTGTGTCGTGGGGTTATGGCTGTGCTCGACCTGATAGGCCCGGAGTCTACGCCAGAGTTACACGTTAGTGTTCAATTCTTTTGGAACTGGTTAAGTTCTCAATAAGGCATAAAAACATAATTTCACTTGAAATGAAGAGATCCTTTCCTTCAAATAATGATTAATAATTTCA